CGTTATCGGAGTCATGGGAACGATCTACTAAAACTCTCTAATAGCATTTTGAAATACGCAAATTAATGTATGAATAATTAAACTTCTGAACCTCTCAAAAATTAATTTTTGTTTGCGGCTCTTGAGCACTGTCACCTTTACCACACTGATTCTGCGGCTGGAGATTGAGCTGAAACATCTAAAAACATCGAACAAAACGTGAGTGGTCGACGTTGCCAGCACGTCTTGTATGATGTATACGACATTGAGGTGTGAACGCGACGTCGCTGAAACGTCATTGACGGGGCAATAATGTAACGTCACCCTGGACTTCATTTTAACTTTGAAGACAAGTGAGTGTTCTCGTGAGTGTTCGACGTTTCTAAAACGTCTTGTCTTGACGTCGTGGCGACGATGACGACGTTAAAGTTGAAACGTGACGTCGCCAGCACGTCACTGACAGGACGATAATGGGACGTCATTTATGAACTTCAGTTCAACGTCAAAGAAACGTGAGCGTTGGACGTTGTGAGAACGTCGTGCATCGACGTCATGGGAACGTTGACGACGTTTGAGTTTAAATACAACGTCGTCACAACGTCACTGATTGGACTCTAATGGAACGTTATATAAGGACGTCGCCTCAACATCGAAAAAACGTGATCGAAGTCATGCGGGACGTCACGGACGTCCGGGACTTTTTCTCGACGTTTCCAGGACGTTTTGTGCTGCCTGGGGTACCACTGTGGAGCCTGGAACGCATCTCCTACTGGTGTGTGTACCGCGTCCAAAAATATGGTCCCTCGATTTCCGCCTAATGTGACAGACGCCTCTTCTGACGCAGGTAGGTCTCCAGCGTGACGGTTCATGGAAGCTACGGTAGCCACAAGCTGGGACGCTTCGACGACGGCGAACCTCGCGTTTGCTCGTGCTTTTCACCAGCATTGTGCCGACCAACCGCCAGGATCGCGACATCCGGCAGCATGACACCCCGGCTTCTGTGACGTCATCTGTTGCCACCTCGGGACCACAGTTGATCTATGGGCGGAGTAGGACGCTAAAGACACCGGTCGAAGACGTACTCCAGGCACCCTAGTACCCCCTAGAAGACAAGGCCCGAGGATGACGTCATTGTTAGTGGATCTCCTACCTGCCCATAGCTGCGAACACGCTGAAGCTCGCCGAGAGTCTCCTCAAAGCGCTCGTTGTGATCACTATTCTGTATCGTAATAGGCTGGATCGCCGATCGAGGATTCTATTGCTGGGGTGTCGCGGCGCGACCGGCAGCTGTCGCTTGACACCAGCTAATTCGTTGGAGTCTGTGGGGAGAAATGGTGAAGACTGCAATTTCTTACCTTGTAGTGTGTTCTCGACAATTACAGATGTATGGCGTTTTTTGGATATGACAGTTTATATTCTGGACGCAAATACCAAAAGCGTTACGATACCATTTTGCCTTTAAATAGATTGCTTTTAAAAGACAAGATGCGCCGTCGGAGCTTAGCGGACGATAGTCTAGAAGACATTTACTAGGAGGACTCACATTATTTCAAGCGGTTGTACAGAGTACTATCGGGGAAAAATGAAATGCGAACAGAGGAGCGCGTGGCTCGCGGTACAGGCTGCGCCGCCTGGAAGTGCACTTAGGTGCGAGGGTGCGTGGCCTACTTCGATGTGTTCACGCCCCTCGATTGGCGCCCCCCCAGCTTCGGCAGTGCGCCTCTCGGTGCGCTGAAAGCTGTCACCGCTATCTTTGCCTGCTCGGCGAGTGCGGCGAGCTTCTTTGCACCGCACGCGCTGAGCCAGCAAAGATAGCGGTGATAGCTTTCAGCGCACTAAGAGGCGCTCTGCTAAAGCTTGGGGAGCGCAGAGGGAGGGACGTGAACACGTCGCAGTAGGCCACGCACCCTCGCTCCTAGGCTCACTTCCAGGCGGCGCACCATGTACCGCGAGCCACGCGCTCCTCTGTTCGCATTTAATTTTTCCCCGATAGTACATCTGGTGCAAGCTTTTGCTTAGAACTGCAATAAAGTCTACCGTAATGGAGTGAAACTCGGGGCGTGTCGCTCAGTTGTTGAACGTGTGCTTTGTTTAGTAACTGAAGCATGCGACGCCTGAAGAGTCGGTGGTTCTCCGGCAGATTTGAACCTGTTTTAATCGGCGTTCGGACGCTTGGCAAATATCGATTTGATCTCCAAATAATCGATATAATGAACGCAGCACATTATAAAATACTCGCCTTCGAGCACCGCGCATAAGCCTCAACATTCTTCCTTTTGTGTGTTTCTCCCGTCTACTTGCCTCTATTGCCTGGTGCCGAGCAATGGGCGCCGGTGGTGCCACCGACGGGTTGCCTATCCGGGATCCAGCCTGCTTCAATAGAGATAAGTGGTTGTGAGTCCCTGCAAGATGCAACCTGGACGGCGCTGCTTCTATCCATGAAGCAGCGCCGCATGAGCGGAAAAGCGCAAGCCTTGTCTTCTAGATTGTATTGTTCAAGCACGGTGCCTGTGCGTGGGAGCCATATGCGCTGCCAACCCAAGAGCGAAACATTACGCTCCGTTTAAGAAGCAGAGGCCTGACGCTTAACAAAGTACTGGCAACATGCATATATTATTGCGGCAAAATAAAAGCGATAACACGACGTCCTATCCTCTCTGTCCCAGAGTTCCGCAATATCCTTTTGGTCGTCGTCTTCGTTGGAGGTCCGTGGTCGTCGTTGCCATTGACCGTCAACGCACATCGTCGCTTGTCAAACGCATTGCGTTTTTAAGGCAGTAGTCCTCGACATCAGACATCATTGGCCGTAGTCATCTCTACGCTCATTTTAGTCATCGGTCGTAGTGAGCAAAAAGTTAGGGCGCAAAGGAGCGGGTGAAGGTTTAACATAATTTAAGACAAACCCCTGAGACTGGGGCAAAGACGGAGGACAACACAACACATAGTGTGTTGCACATTAATGTGTGTTGTGTTGTCCTTCGTCTTTTCCCCAGTCTCGGGGATTTGTCTTCAATTATGTCCGTAGTGTTTTTTGTCATCATCCGTCGTCATCGTGGTTTGTCTAAGCATTTTACCTAACGCATGACAGGGATCAAGTTACACCTATTTACTTTTTTTCAATACTGAAGTAACAATAGTTTATTAATTTCAGAGGAAGGTACCGAATAGCGTATTTTAGTTCTTTTTTTAGAAATTACTAGAGTAGCCTGTTCTGTTACTTTTCAAGAAAATAAACAATCGAAATATTGTCGTTACATCACCACAAACAATTCCTAAAACGAATAAGTCTAGATTTTTTTCTTTCAGTGAAAAAGACGCATCTTGTATTTTCCTTACTTTTCGGGAAACGGAGCAGCTAACGAACGAAAGGGCTCGTTTTGACGAAAACCCGGTGGTGTCTGTCAGTTTGTCAGCGCTGAGAAGGGAATGAGAGGTTGACGCACGCTGACGTCGGCGCTTCGGTTCAATAGGAGCGTCGCACTTGTCACCCTCTCCCCCTCCTTCTTCTTGTCTCCTCGCCGCACACAAACGAAAGGCGCCGCCGGGTTTTCGTCGAACCGAGCGTTCTAAAGCTAACACATTAAAACTGCGCGAAAAACACGAGGGGCGGGTCAAAGAAACTAGACACGCTCATTCTACGAAACAGTTTCTGGCGGTTGTCCTGGATTCGCTTTGGCGAGGCCGACATTGCTTGCAGTGAGAAAATTAATTAGCACATGTTCTATGGACTACCTAAATATAAAGTGCGCCTGGTTACATTGTACTCGGTACGGTCTCAATAACTGCCTTGGCGAATGTTTTTTTTTTCACACTGATGAAGGCTCTTACCCATTATACCATTATTATCGTATAACCAGATTAAGAAGCATCTTGAATAAACCTGGAGGTGATCACCTTCACTGAGCTACAAATGACTAAATCCGATTTTCTAATTTATATTGGCATGACATCTCGAACTTTATGGAACTGCCTGTTTACGGACGATAACGCAAACATGGATCACGTCTACGCAAAATATATGATATTAGCGTTATTAGGCGTATACGTTGCTCCAATTTGCAATGATATTATAATTAAAGTAAGGACTTAACTGTTAGCAACCAAATGAAAACAATTGGCGTATTTGCATATTATATGTATAGGATACGCAACAAACAAGCGAGATTGATATGAGTTAATAGTTACAAGCTTGGGAAACATTAAAATTTTCTGTTTTATTTTCTCTAAATTTTTGAACATGGTGGATGTATAATATATATTTATATATATATACTCCGGAATCTGCTGCGTATTAAATGCGATTATTTGGAAAATTTATTTAGCTTTCTTTGAATGTTTCGTATTTTTGGATTCCATTACATATAAGTATGTTTGTTTTATTATTTCAAAGCGTGTTTCTTTCAACCCGTCTAGAATCTTTTGTGAAACGTTTGTCTATATGCTTGCACATAACTCAAATAAATTTAATTACAAATGCTGATATATTTATCCTGAACTTAATCGTCGTAGTTTGTGTACATCATATTTTACTCGATCACAACCCTTCTTTTAACCTATTACTTTTTAGAAAAATAGCACATGGCAAGCTATGGAAGCCAAATGCGCTTCCAAATATATTTCAAGATAATAAAAAAATGTTTTATTTTTGTGTTTTAAATAAATACTTATCTGAAAGCGTAATTGCATTTTTTCATGATTTAAAATTTGTTATAGCACCCTGAGTTTACATTCAGATATAATGTTGGAAGTGTTTTTATCATCCAGGTATGCACCCGACCGCGGCTAGAATTCGATGCATGAATACGTACGCGTCTTCCCTACCCACGGAGGTTGTCCACAAGACAACGCACGTCTGATGCACGCCGCTGCGACAGATGTCCGCACGGCCCTGTGGCATCCATCCAGGGGTCCATCCGCAACCATTTGCTCTCAACTCACCTTAAACAGATACTCTTGTCGACACGAAGGTTCCGCGCGATTTCTGGGCGTTCTGTATCAGTGCACGAGTATGTCATTTGCAGAAATACTGCAAATTCAACGGATATTAAACAAAAATAAAGGTTTGTCATCACGTGTACTCGCCTCGGCGGGCGCCTTTGATGGAGCGGTGGCGCCATCTGTCGGCTTTGACGGGAGTTAGGTGTATGTCGTGTCTGAAGGGACGCCAAAAAAGAAAAACAGAAAGTTTTTTTTTTTTTTTTTTTTAATATTTACTCGGGCCAGTTAATTCCTTGAAAGTCTCATATACAATATGCACATCTGCGGGCATCTTGTGGAGCGATGTGTTCTGAAAGCGGCTTATGTGGTTTCTTCAAAAATGCACAGCGTCACCGATTGCACGCTACAGATTTGCATGAGGACTGTGTAAAAAGAAATGGAATAATACAGCACAGAAAACAGGTTGTCACTTATAACAAGCACTTAAATAAAAGACTAGCATTGCACGAAGGAAGTGCAATAAGGCTGTATCAAACATCATAAAACATAGTAACATGAATTATAATGCAGCATATCAATGTTAAAGCATGTGCAATAACAAAAAAGAAAACATTTCCTCTGAAGTCTCAGTGACCACGTGATGTGGAAGACAATTCCAATCACTCGATCGATTTGGGAAAAAAAGAGTTTTATAGCATATCAGTGCTGCATCTAATATTTTAGTTTTATTTTTTGCGGATGGTCCACTCTTCAGGAAAGGTAATCAAGATTATGAGAATAGTTACCCTTTATTACATCTGTTTGGTATAAGTAAATATTTCTGAAAATATTTATTCAAAGATATTTTCTCCATGAGTCTAATGATTTCCAATCCAGTTGTTTCTTTAAACTTGTTACGCTTGAGCGAATATCGTAATTATTTGTTGCAAAATTAGCAACTATATTTTGCCCGGGTTCTAGTCTTGATTTTAAATTTAGGTAATATATGTCCTGCAGTGGACATGCATACTCTACAATTAGCCTAGCATTCCTGATGTATAACGACTCTTTAATATTAGCCGGCGCCCTTTTGAAATTCGGTTTGAGGATATATAAAACGCGGTTTGCCTTATTGTTATTGTATCCAAGTGTTTAGCCCAGCATGAATCGCTGGTAAAATAAACTCCTAAATATTTTACATCTCTAACTTCCTGGGTCCGTTCTCTCGAACGCGAACCGTGGGTTAAAGTTAACTATTGTCCCTAGAGGGGGGAATTTTAGGTCACGTGACTGGGAGAGCAGTGGCGCCGAGGGACGAGCAGTACCTACAAGCAAAATGGCCGCGACGTCGCTTAGTGAGGGCTAATAGTTCTCCTTGGTTCTGCTGAACATTCATTTCGACCCGGCTGTTATATTCATGACGCACCATCAACCTATTAGCACGTCAAGCAAAGCGGTAGTTCAGAGGGACTACTAAACTCAGCGACGGCAGCATTCCGCGAACGCATCACTCTTCAGCAGTCCGCGATCCAAGACATATGACGGTACATAAGCCTTGCAACTATTTTTATGGTGAGTAAAAAAATGTTTTGCGAACAAGTGTTGGTATATATTTATACTAACAAGTTTACTTTGTTACACTATGCACGCCAACTCGTGAGCAGCGATTACTTTGCGGAGAAAGGGGGTTATCCTCGATATAGTCTTCGTTGCGGGTGAACAGCTGGGACATTATACTGTTTTTTTGTTCGCAGTGCGCCGACAGCATCCAGGTTTCTACGTATCCCCAGTGGCCAGAAATTCGACGGTGACGAGAAGCTTAGCTTTACGCTGAAACAGTGCCGCGGCGTCTGGTTTTGACCGCGACGGTCGGTCGATGCATCAACCAATGGGAAAGGTATAAGCGCTGTATACGAATCAACCTTGCCGATGTCATCTGCAGAAGTCGCAGAAACGAGAAATGAACAAATACTTACCACAAAGAGAGTTGACGAGATCATCCTGTCGCTTTTTTTTCGTTTTTAAAAGTGATATTGGGATTATCTTGCGTCTTACTGCGATATGTAGCGAAACCCAGAGGTGCAGGTAGAGAAACCAAAGTAGCAGACGATAGTGTCCTGTCCGCAAACGTCGATTGAAAATGGACCAAGCGTCAGCATCGGGGGTTCGCGAACAGAGGAGAAAAGCATGACATTAGACGAGAGGTTGAAACTAATTCGGGAAGTTGGGGCAAGAAGGAAACAAATTACGAGAAAATTCGGTCCTGCAGTTACTGCACAGACAAGACAACAGTCGTGGCTCGACATTGCCGATGCAGTGAATGAGCAGGGAGCTCAAAGGACCGTAAACGAACTGAGGGAGGCATGGCAAAAGCTCCTTAAAAAATTCAGAAAGGTGTACGGCGCCTACAAGAAGCATGAAGGACGCACAGGTGCTTCAGAGGAATTTGCATATTTCGAAAAACAAACTAGTTTTCAATTGTTTGCTTCAAAGATGAGTAGGGGGGGGGGGGGGGGCAGGTACACAAAAAAAACGGAATCTTTCCTGCCATGAAATATAACGTCGTGTTAGCATTTAATTGTTTTATGGCATGACTGATGACAGATATAAAAGTGAATGTTAAAGTGTAACTTTCCACTGCATTACTGCCCCTGTGCTAAAACAGTAATAAAAGCAAATGAGGCAACAGCTCAAAACAATTTACTGAAATTTGCTTTAACAGTGTTTTAGAACTAACCGAGACACATATGAAACAGCAAAAAGTGTGGTAGACCTGAGACAGAGGACAGCAAAATGTTGAAAGCACACCGCCTAAACTGTGCCTTTTCTGTTGTTTCTAACATAAAACCGGTCCTCAAACTTGGGGCACAGTTGTTCATCGAACAATTTTCTGAATACCCTACACTACTGCATCCTCAAAACACACAGAATGCACTATGCACAATGTTGACCGCAGCACAATTGCACGCAGCGAAGTGCATGTTGGAAGGTCAATGTTGCGAGACCGCTCCGCTGCAATGTTAAGAAGTTACATTTCTGCCATACAGTATAAATTACTATGCTTTCAATTGACGTTTCATAATGCCTTTGGATTTCTGCTGTTTATAGCCTAGTTTGGTAGTTGGTTATTGATCTCCCTCCACTCTGTAATGCCTCCGGGGCCCGGGTGACTACGAAATGAAACTAATGTGCATTCATTTGGTAGGTGCCGGCCCGAACCCCCATGAGCTGACGCCCCTAATTCAGGCAGTTCTCGAAGTGATCGGCGTCGACTAGGCGAACCCGTGTGGGCTCGACGTCATTGAGGGCGACACTTAGGTGTAAGTGGATTACTTTTACATCAGTCTGTATGACAAGTCAACAGCACTGGGTGCCGGGCATGCAGAATAGCTCTGCTATTAATGGCGGGACCCTAGGAAACTGACGCGAGAACAGGAGATTGCAAAAATTGTCATTGTGCTATACACACAATATCTGATAGGAAATCAGCGCACTTTCATGTGTCACTACTGCGTGATGCAGGGATAGGGAGCCCAGGCTAGCGGACGTACTGCACTGCCTTTGGGTCACTTATGACAAGCATGTAATTATGAATTTCTCTTCATTTTACTCATACGGCTGCATAGTTGCTCTACAAACAACGTGCAAAAAAAAGCAAAACAACACAGAAGGATATGTAGCAAAATGTGCTCAATACTAACATAACTATACAACCAGACAACAGAACTACCGATGTACCAAAGACAGATATCCGAACAAAAAACTGTTGTAGTACACTTTTTGATGGTTGAAGGAATGCAAGGCGGTGATATTTAGTTCTAACCTCTTAACCAACAGGTGAAACATATAAGACAATATGCTTCCTTTAAAAAAAAAGTATAACCCTGTTGTTACGCATGATATTTGATGGGTTGTTGAATGAGTGAACAAACTCATCGTTTATGCTGTGACGAACTTGTGCGTAGCGCAAAAAGGAAAGAGGTATTGCGGCTGGCATCAGGTATCGGTTTAACAGCAGGATCGAAAGCCATAGCGAGATTGACTCTATACATAACCAAGCGAAGACTCTTTTGTAGCATCGTGAATTTCGTAAACAACCATACTAGAATGTTTGGTTTCACAAGATCCTCAGGTCGAATAAACGACAAGGTTAAGAAATTTATAAGAAAGCTAAAGGTAATGTAATACTGAAAGTTGCAATCGGTGCAAGGAATACTACCGTAATATCCCGAGAGGCGACGCATCCCTAAAAGATAGCCCATCCTGATTTGTAGGAGGACTTTCCATTTTTCAATGGCTCAAGTTGAACTACCTTGAGAACACCGAATGTTAGCCTACCCCTTATTTTTACCTAACGTGCTCTCAGTTTTGTGTGGGCGATTTCTCGGGATATTACGGTGAGTATGGACTTCTGCATGAGCACCATATGTGTGGTCCACTCGGAGATGCTTGAAGTATTAGAGAGTTTCTGCTCTACAGCTAAGTACACTGTGGCACAATGCCAGCAACATGTCGGGGTTACAAACACTATATGTTCTACGTATGTTGTCTGCACACTTCTAATAACTACAGAAAATCACTTTCTGCATTTTCATTTCTCACAGCGATAGCTTGAGGCAAACGGCAGCGCCGCAGCCTCGGGCGTCAGGAAGCGGCCAAAGGGTGGCAGCAGCAGAAGAGTGGGCGGCAGCTCCCCGTGTCTTGCAGACGAGACGTTGGTGCCGGGAAGCTGCGCAGAGGTATCAGCAACAAGCTGAGGAGCAGCAGCGGCATCGACACTTTTGTCCGTTCTGTCCTCTCTGTCCTCTCGGGCTAGACCTCAGTTGAGACACAATAAGGCGGGGGGGGGGGGGGGGGGGGCACACGAAGCGGTGGGGGGGTCGGCGGTGTTTTAAACGGCGGACGATGAAAGATTTGCGCCATTTTTGTGTCGTCACCCACGTCCTAGCTAGAGTAGCACAGATTTGTAGCGATGCTGGGTTCTCTCGGGTATTCTGCCCGCTTTGGGGTAGGGACATTTCGTTGGTACGGGTCTCGGGTTTTTTCCGTTGAACAGATGCTCGGATGAGAATAGACTTGGCCAGTGAGGTCGTGTTGACAGTCGATGGCGAGTCTTAACAGGAGTCGAAACAAGTGAACTCGAGGGTTTAGTTTCTGCGGTGAGATATTTCTTTTCTAATACGGCATGCCTTGGCACCTTTGACACCGGCCGCGGTAGGTACGGCCGACGGCGAGCAAACCGGGCGCTAGGCCTCAAACGTGGCCTAGATCCGTTCGTCGTAGGGGACGAGCAAGAACTGGAGATCAGTCGGGGATGTAAAACTAACTCGGTGACAAAATGTCGCGGTATGGTCCGGTGGGCCTCCTGGTATCTAACGATTGTTCTACTGTGTTGCAATCGGCATCGAAAAGACAAGTCGTCGCGATCAAACCGCGGAGATCTATGCAATAAGTCCGCTAAGCTTGGGGTCTAGACGGTTTTTCAGTACACAAACTAAAACGATCGTTTCTTTTAAATAGCAAATTTAATGCACTATAAAACTTTGAAGATAAATGTAGCTACCAACTTTTTATGTAGTTTGATTTAAGTGCTTTTATTTTATATGTACTTATTACATATATAAAAAGTGTATGTATTTTCTTATAAATATTAAAGGCTAACAGCAAAGAAAGAAAAAAAGTGTTTTCTTTTTAAGCAGCCTAACTGGGGCAAGCATCTCACAAAACAAATCTTTCGTGAAAAAAACAAAATAGCAATATTTACGCCGCAAGATTTCATTAAGTCGGAGTCACAACCTCTCCACATTTTAAACTCCGGCTTATTCGACCCGCGCGGAGAAGTACGCCCGGCACCTCGCTCTTGGATTTGCTCTTTTATTGCCTTGGCTGCGGACTTGAACGACGTACGCAGCGTCTCTAGTTCCGGTGCGTCTTGTCGAAGATACGCCTGATCGGGGAGGGGGGGGGAGGGGAGGGGGGCTGGGAAGGTACCGCCGCCTCCTTTGAAACCTCCTCAAAATTTACTGCGCTCCGTGCAGGCCGCCGTCTGAAAACTCCGTACCAGTGTTGCTGCATCTGTAGGTCATCTTTAAGATAAAGCTGACGAAGAAAATCTGGCCACGGAGCAACGCCGATGCACGCGGAAAGTTAGAGCCGGTTTGCTTTTAGAGCGCAGCTCTTAGGTGCCCGTTTCTGGCTTGAGCGTCGCCGCCGTCGCCGTCGCCGTCGGCGTAACCGCGCGGGGCATTATGGGTAAATTTCCCCGCTAAATCTAGCGGGAAAATTTCCCCGCTAAATCTAGCGGAAACATTTCCCCGCTAGATCTAGCGGAAACATTTCCCCGCTAAATCTAGCGAAACAATTTGTCTGCTAAATTTAGCTTAAAAATTTCCCGCTAGATCTAGCAAAAAATTTGCCCCGCTAAATCTAGCAGAACAAAATTTCCCCGCTAAATCTAGCGGAAAAATTTCCCCGCTAAATCTAGCGGAGAAATATTTCCCCGCTAAATCTAGCGGAAAAATTTCCCCGCTAATTCTAGCGGAAAAAATTTCCCCGCTTAATCTAGCGGAAAAATTTCCCCGCTAAATCTAGTGGAAAAAATTTCACTGCTAAATCTAGCGAAAAAAATTTCCCCGCTAAATCTAGCGGAAAAAATTTCTCCGCTAAATCTAGCGGAAAAAAAATTTCCCGCTAAATCTAGCGGAAAAATTTTGGTCACGTGACCCGGGGGATCACGCGGCCTGGGGAGTCGCGTGACACCTCGAGGCCACGTGACCCCCTCCCGAGGCCACGTGACCCCCTCCCGAGGTCACGTGACCTCTGAGGGGGGCACGTGATTGCCCCCACGTGACCCCACCAAGGTCACGTGCCCTCGGGGGGGGGGTCACGTGACCCCCCCCCCCCCCGAGAACACGTGGCTTTCAGTACCCTCCCCTCCTCCTCCTCAAGAACTGCTCTTCAATTCGGCGTTACAGGGAGTGGTAAACGGCTTTCACTTTTTGTTGTTTTTGTTAGGTCAGAAAAAATCTGGCAACATCACACGTTCAGCATGGCGCCGGTATTATTTTGGTTTGACGGGACGCGAGAAGCTCCACGGTTTGCGAGCACATGTTTCGAAGACGTGACCGAGAATTGCCCCTGTGATGTTCCCAGAAGACAGAAATTGGTATTCGTAACCGTCGTGTGTGCTTTGAAAGCGAAGGGAGTCACAGGGTCCACGAGTGCGCCACCACAAGCCAAGGTTCACGGCAGCACTCCATTGACTTCGGCGATCTCGTTCTGTTTGGTGCAACGCGGCGATGCGACAAAGAACTGAAACGTTCGTGGTGTGTGTTGCGGTTCTTGGAGGTAGAAAACCACACTAACACGGAGCGCAAATTGGTTGTTGTGAGCTTAAGATTCAACGCCAGTTCAGTCCCGTTGTTGTCATCTGATCCGGTGCAGCTGGTCCGGGAGGACGCAGCGAGCTTCCTTTAAAGAGCATCTTCCTTCGTTCCGTTTCGAAATGTGCAAGATTCCCGACGCATACCGTGAGTAAAAAGCTGCGGTGCGTTTTCAACAATGTTACGCCGTTTTCATTGAACAAGAGACTCCGGATTTTCCAAAATTTGCCGTTTTATGCTTCGTATTGTTGGACTGCTTTTGGACAGCGACGTGTTTGCGCAGCGACGCACACCACTCGAGTACATGATTCGGTTCTGGAGAGGACCGGTTATACAAAATTTCAGGGAAACGTAAGTCACCCCAAATATTTTCCTGTAAATCTCTTGCGAGTTTGTTCTGTTCGTCATGCGGTGTGAATAAATTCGGGCAAGATTTTCTACCTGCCCACAGATGCATAAACTGAAACCATTTTTTACGTTCTGGACAAAGTGCTTTTTCTTTATCTTGGGAAAAGACGTTGGTGCATTTATTAAGGTACAATCACATGTGAGTTGAGCAATTGGGGAGAGCGAGCAAGCTTTCTCAACTGTGTCTCTTTTCTGTCTGGCAGTGCCCCTAGTTTCAAGTTGCCAGTTGCAGTAGAGATACCTAATAGTAGGTGCAAACTGCTCTAAAGCAGGTAAAAAACGGAGAACTCAGGACGGTGCGGGCTCAGTGTTTCGCGCTTTTCGCAAAATGACTGGAGTGCTTTGGCGAGGTATGCGGAGTATGCAAACGATTTTGTTAAGCCCGTCGTTTGCGTCTCTTCAGAAAAACGAAGAAGGCGGTCTACAAAAGCGCAATCACAACCCAAAATTTAGGATAACAGTGCGTTAGCACTCTTATTGGCTCTAGAGAGAATACCACTATGTCGTGGGAGGTTGACACTTTACAGGTAAGAAGGGACCAGTACACTTCGCATTCAAACTTAACGTAAGATGGTTCGGAAACCGAGAAAAAAGTTGTGTCGGCTAACGCAAAATTAGGAAGTCTGAAGGCTTGTGCGGACAGCTGTTACGTAATAACCTGGCTGTGCCAGGTTTTTCACGTAACATCTGTATCTAAGTAGTGAACGTTCGGTGCGCCCGGTGCGAATCTCGAAGGCTTACGGATCGAAATGACGAGAACATATCTGGAAGAGCTTGTCACTACGCGAACACCCGATTGCCTCCAGCCAAATAGAATTCAGCTTGTCATAATTCGGCGCGAAGTGGCTGCTGGAAGACTCGCTGTCGCGATCACTCATCTGGCAGCACTTCGCAGGGCAACGGCGCTCCGTTTACAGGAGCTGACATCTCCAAAACGTCGGAATTTGCACGCGCAAGCAAAAAAGAAAAGCATGCTAAGAAAGCAAAGAGGAAAACGAAACTAACAAACCGTGCTATAAAAGGCAGAACCCCGCGTCGCTTCCTATCACTAACACCTGTGACAGCTGCTAAACACACACTACTTCACTTCAAGAAGTTTCACTCAAGCACCTGGGTCAGCACGAAACACTGATCACTTCGGCGAAACGATTAGTCGAGTTAGGCGAGACAGGCGGGAGCAGAGACTTTGGTGGCCATGAAAAGAATGGCGAAGCTTTTGTGTGTTATGGTATGAATCCAAACGGAAGTGCCCGTCTTGGAGACCTTTTGTCAAGAATAATAACTCTCATTACATGGGTTCTTTTTAAACGTAAAAATATGCCGCTCAAAAGGAAATTTCAACGTATCACAAATGTTTACCACCCAATGTCTAAGCTCTCCATTACAAGCTTAGCAACTGAGAAGAGTTGCTATCATACATCACTACGTGACGTATAGCAGCCGCTCCGTGACGTATAATATCAACTTTGTTGAGCGCGATTTAAAACGGACGAAATAACCTCAACCTAAAATCAGCCTCACGCAATAAATATTGCCTTAAAAATTTTGTTTTCGCGGAAAACTTGTTTTGTTATTTGCTCGTCCCAATTAGGCTGTTTAAAAAACACTTTTTTTTTTTTTTTTTTTGCAGGTACCCGTTAAGTCTTTTGTTGTACCCCCCTAACGAGGGTCAGGGAGGTTCAAGGAAATAAATAAAATACATTCTGCGGCATATATTCCTTACGTTTGTGAAACCGAATACTTCTTTCTTAATGTATATTTAAAATCTATACGCCGGATCAGTTTTGTGTGAAAACCGTCGAACATAAAACTAGAGGGGGTTTGAATAGACCAAACCTAATTTATAGCCCTCCAAATATATACTATTGATTCAGAACAAGTCTACCAATATGTCGCCATCTTTAATCAAGGTAGATGTAACATCGATTCTTTATTAGAATATTATAAAAACAAGTGGCATTCACGCCATGGGTTTTTATTTAAACACACGACCTCAGACGAAATGGCAGTACACCCGTGCAACCGCCGGTGCGCTTGACTTCCTTCTGGTTTCTTAAGTTGCCTCTGTGCCTGTATCACTTTCCTCTTCAGTAGTTTTATCGTTCTCTTTTTCTTTCCCTTCTTCTGTCCCTTCTTCTCCTTTACCTTCGCTTTCCCCCTCATTTCCTTCCTTTCCTTCTTCCTCCTCCTTATTCTCCTCCTCCTTTGGCCCGCCTTCGTTTTGCTCCTCTTTATTTTTATCCTCTTTAATTGTCTCTTCCGTTTGTTCCTCTTCATTTTCATCCTCTTTGGTTGTCTCGTCTTCCTTTTGTCCGTCTTCATTCTTGTCCTCTTTAGTTTTCTCCTCTTCCTTTTGCTTTTCCTCTTTGTTTTCTGGATTCTTATTTTCCTTATCCTTCTTATATATAGGGTCCTCTGGATGATAGCATGTTTTGTCTTTGCACTTGCTTGTCAGCTGAGTGTTGTACTGGGAAAAAAAAGATAAATGAACTTTTTTTTTAAAACCTTCATTCGGAAGGCCTTTAAACTTTTTCCAAAAATATTTAACAGTCAAAGCCGTCCGGAAAATAGCGCTACTTCAAATTCAATAATTGCAAATTGTTTATAAGTAATCGCAGTAGCCGGTCTAATTGTCTTTTAGAATCATTTCCATTATTTCGCTTATAAAAATAAACTTTTATGATGCAAATACAAAAAAAAAATTACCTTTTAGATAACGTTATTTACCGCGTTGTACATCCCGGCAAGATAGATAGAGATGTGAAAATCGCATAACTGACTACATACAATCTGCTATTTAACAGCATAAATCTGTGTCTTATTCGCAGATGCTAATTGCAATCGGCTATCTGTAGCCCGTGATTGAAAGGGCTATAGTCTGTGTTAAATTGCCAGCTTTTTTTTTTTTTTTTTTTCTGAGATTGCACTTGTTTTGCGAAAAGGCTATAACATTTTCTTTCGAATGTTTTGCTTATGCTTGTTAGCATTCTCCCGTTCCTGTGACTACGGCAAGAACTTCTAATTTATAGCATTTTCACTTAATTTGTAACCAGGAAACTAGACGAAAAACAACGAAAAGTCGTGGACGAGAACCCATCAGATGATGCAGTCCTAAAAAGACTCAGCTGCGTAGCTGGCTTCCGTTAGCTCACGTAGCATTGTTAATGCTACGTTTTGTGTTGTGTTAGCCATCACGGTAACACGAAACTTCCTTCAGTATTATCGCTTTAGTGTGCGCATACCAGCTTTTTTTTTTTTACTATTTTGAACAAATATATTTTGAGTAACAGAGCACACATTGATGGTATCTTTATTATACACCATTGAGGAGTTCGCGCTATTTTTGAGCAACTAATAACGGCAATATTCGCATAAGCGGAGCATTGTATATACAAGATGGCTGTCCCTCGCCGGATAGTTTTAACTTTCACCTTTCGCTTCGAGGTCGAACCATGCCGCCGCCAAGCGCCCTAAATTGTAAACATTCAGAAGTATCGATACCTCGGCGTCGTCTGCTGCGGGCGTACGCTGGTTTTGGATGGAACCAGTGGGCATAAGTAAAGACAACCGACCGTTAGAATATATAAGAAATGACACCAGCGGTCGGGTGTCTTCTTTTATATTCTTCCTCCCTTGCTATATTCAGCTGTTTCCACCCGAAATTAATAATCAACCAGCTCAGCTCATTCCACTCGCACGTTCAGAAGCACGGATTTCGACGAGGAAAGCCCGTTCATTTGCAGCTGAGTTGCACTGTTTTTATTAAATGATTCTTGTTTTCGTTTGTTTTTGTTTTTTCGTTTGCTGAAAGATGTATTGTATAGTTATTAGTTTCGGATGCTTGGAAACTAAGCAAAGCGATAAATATTAAGTCTGATGCTTCCATGATCCTTTTACTGTGGCTTGTAAAACCGTGGGTCCTACACGTTTTTTTTTTTATATCGCACAAGCCGTATCTTGCATCACATAATACATGTTTATTGGAGCGGAGGCCAAATCAAAAATATCCCGAGTGTTTGCCACCCTTTAAAATGACTAGTAAATAAAATAATTCGTTATTTTACTGACCTCCGGGCATATTATAAGAAACAAAAAAACGGGGGATGTTCTAATATTTTACTCTTGAATTCGACTCGAATGATGATTCAAGGAACATTTAATTCGAGTTTCGGATTCCTTGTAACAAAACTTTCGAATACTTCGATGCAGTGTACTGCTGGCAAAAATTCTGGTTCATTCACGGTGTTGATATGAGGTAATAGTCCCACACGCCCATGTGTAATCTTGATCAAGTGTACTGAAAAGTCGTGACTAGCATATAATTTCTGCAGAATGTAGCTCTCCTCATTTGCTGCTCGAACGAAGTACTCATGCTTTAACCTTCTTGGATGCTCTCGACGAAAAGGAGTAACCGAAAGTCGCCATTTGAATTAAACTATTTTACGTCACCTGAAGTAACCACTGTGCTCTATTAACCTACTGTCAGTTGTTAGGTCCATAATATGAGAAATTGTTTTCGAAATACAAAAGGCAAGGATAAGTGAACTGGTCTATTGTGCTAACCTGTCACTCCCCGCGGTGTCGAGCGATGTGCTATGTTTGGGGACATGTGGCGCAAGACGTCACCAAGTTAAAACTGTTGAGCCTTGATCCCTCTATTCATCCTGCACGTTGCGTATCCTCACGCGGATAGATCGACCCATCCGGGAGATGCGTCATAGATTTGTCGTACAGGTGTGATTAATAACTGGCTTCTTCTTCGTGCCGCCTCACGTGGTTCTGTGTGTCTTCCACAAAAAGAAACACAAAAGACTTTGTTTTTCATGTTTTTGTTTTTTTAATACGAGAGCATTTTTTCATCGCTCCCCCTAAATTGTTCTTTTATCCATAAGATAAAATTCGTGTGCAGGCACGGGAGAGGGATAAGAGCATAAATTGAGAAGGAACATATTTCCGAAGGTCCCACAAGGAAAACTGATCCCAGGACTTTAGGATTTTGGGCACGACGCTCACCCATTGTTCCAAGGGAAAAATTGGTGAAGCGATAGCTATCAGGCGCCGTTCTCTTCTCCTTACCGCGCATAGGCGGATTCTAAGGTGAGGCGATCACTCGCTGTACCGCAGTCTTGAGAATGCTCCGCAAGGGGAAGGAGCGCACTAAGGAGACAGCTAAGCAGTAAGAGTGACGTGCAGGGTATAACCATCTTTTGATGAATGCAGATGTGGAACCTTTTATGCATAGTTTTCTGCTTTAGCTATCGTCTCAAATAAATCAGCGTAACATAGCCTTCAAAAAGGCAAGCTGTGCTTTCACGTTTCGACGATGCCCTCATCGAAACACCAAGAAACGCGGACCCGTTTTTAGTTGTGCGAGCATTGCGAATAAACCGAGTGCAATTCGACACTCAACTTTTTGGCCGCAATTCGACACTACTTGATTTTAAATCTATTCGAATTGAAATACATACGTATACGTACATATCATATGCAGCCCGATTTGTAACCTGACTCGGGGTCCTACCAAAACGCCAAGTCTACAGCGCGGGCGCGCGCGCCCACGCCCACGCACACGCACACGCGCACGCACACGCGCACACACGCGCGCACACACACACGCACAGGCACGCACACGCACACACACACGCACAGGCACGCACGCACACAGTCTCTGGAGACTTTCCGTGAGTGTCGTTTTGCTTTCTGCAGTTATAGGTGTTTTTTATGTCTTGTAATATCCACTAGCTTGTTTACGTCCTGACTTTCTTTTCAGAATTATAAACATGGGAAACCTTTGTAGAAGTGAATTAATTTGTGGCAAATTATTATTAGGAGCGAGTGAATATTCGAAACTTCGAATACAAATCGAATATTATAAATTTACTGCTCACGTTTGATTGAATTTGATTGCTTTTTTGAGCAATCGAATTGCCACAAACGTCCCAAAGTAATCGATTCTTCGGGAATATATTCGAAAGCACTGGTTCTGCTTTCGGCTTTGGTGAGCGATGTAACCTTGTTCACGTTTGCCGGTATTCCCTGGTTACACACCGCGGGATCAGTCAAGGATGGTTGAAAAAGCTCATTTGACATCGGCTTTTTGAATTGCAATTGGTTTACCACTCCCCTGTGATGTGCGGTGCTGACAAAGGAATTGTGGCGCGAGGAATAGCAAAGGTAGGACGAGAAGTGCATGAAGTGGACGGGTTTCGGTGGACTCCGTATGTCATCGACGTTTTGGCAACGTGAAAAACGGCGGAACCGAGCTCGAAACGTGAATTTCCCCACCTGCGGGAGAGCCCGGCTTCAGCAATAAATACGGCTCTTGAAACTCTCGAGTTATGTTTTATTTCGCCGCTCAACGTGCCCCAAAATCAACAACTTGTAACGGGTGCGAAGCGGATCATTGCTTTTCTAACGACTGCTCCTGTCCAGGCACTGGCGGCCCGCCAGTGGTGCGAGGTATTTGCCAGTCCGAAAAATAGGCCAAATATTTCGCATAAAGACCAGCAATATGCGTCACGTCCTGGCTTCCTCGTTAAGCCTTATAGTGAGCTTGATTCACTTGATTTTGAGCCGCCATATTGCGATGTAGACGAGTTGAGGAACTTTGCTCCCCAGTTTGTTGGGACTAACGTTGCTCCATTTCTTAGGGAAGATACGGGACAAGAGCGTTCCTCCTTTATGAAGGAATATATATAGAGAGAGAGAGATTTTCGTTTCTAAGCTTGAAGGATGCGCCTCATAGTGCGTATGATACCAGTGACTTGCTTCCACTTGAGACAACCATTGTGTCATGGAGCGCGCAAATAATTCCGTCGAAAGACTGAGCTTGCCTATATACACCGTACATTTTTTGTTTACCTAAACGCAGTTATCTTACTTCCACAATAAAATGTATCTGACTTCAAGCCGTCACCAGCGCTTTCATTGTTAGCTTAGGATCTCATAAATATGATCTCGCTTCGTCGGCTACATTAAAATATCGCAAGTTGTGAATAAAAATTGTGAGCGGATGAGAGGAGGAAATTCAGTGCAAATTCAAAACTACATTTAGCCTTAATTATGGTGATCACGCCTCGCTCCATTGCACGTATGAACAAACCTTTGCAGTGTAGGTAATACTTCTCGCTGCAAAGAAAATATAGGATACAGAGTTGAATTTATTGGAGACGATCATTTTTTTGGTATCAACGTGTTTCAGCTGGAGTTATTTAAGCGAGAAAGGGAGTGCAACATTTTACTGTTATTTTATTTTCGACACCCGTAAATATATGTGAATAGGAGGGTAGTTGGCATGTTCTCTTTCATTAGAGTTAATATGGTCATAGATTATGATTTATCCGCGTTCAGAGCCGTCTAATCATATTAATAGAAACTTACCTGGCATGGCGTACCATCCTTATAGTACTTTTCTACATAGTTGTTGCTTCCTTTTTCAGGTTCGCAATAGTAATTGCAGCCTGGTACGGGTGTGCTCTGAAGGAAAGAAAAATAGCTAAAATGATTCTCAATACAAAATTAAAAACTTTTGTGTCTATGTACATACAGCCGGACGTTAGTCAGCCCCAAGGGGCGTCTGGTGTCTCAGCTGTAGATGAGCAATTAAGCCAGTGCAGTGCAACTCACATTCGACGACATAATCCTCCAGTCAATTCTGCTGGCACCGTAGCGATTCCACTTTGTCAGCGGTTTTACGCTGCTATTTGGGGCAGGTACACCAGGTGTCGCCTCTGACAGCGTACCAGGGGTGCTGGTTCGCAGATACTCGAAGCCGACATCAAGACCCCTTCTATCGCCACGCAAGAACAAGGTATTTTGAAAGCCTTATAAGACAAACAGGCTTCCAATGTAGATATCTCCTAGAAGTGTGGGATTTACGGTTCGTTCGCCAACAAAATGGGTGTTTTGGGTGTTTTAATTTTTCGTTGTCAGTTGCCAGCCTTTAACAGGTTGAACGGGCGATCTGTCTTTATCTGCAACAGGTGCTCTGTTAAAACGCCGCTCCGATTAGTAAAAACACCATTTTGAGGACGTCTTTTCAATACTTTTTCAGTCTACTAATGGTTTTATAACATCAGTTCTATGCTGTTTTCCCCGACCACAGAATGTGACTGTCAAGTTGCATCTTCAACGTTGAGGACGTAGATGAATAAAGTTGGACGCTTCAGGCCATTCTATCAGAGGGGAAGGGACCCAGTATCTCAATTAGTTGGAGTTGAAAAAAAAAATAATTATCGCGAAACTGTTTTTCTGGAATGGAGTCGAAATGAAATGGGGGGGGGGGGGGGGGGGGGGAAGCTCATTGCGCAACAATAAAGTGTAGATACTGCAATCATACTTTAAGACTTCGGAAATAAAGGTCCTGCCAATTTTTATAACACTTAGACATACCGGGTTTTCGGCGTCCTTGTCCCTTTTCGTACAAGATCGGTCCTCTTCCTCCGTAGCGTTTTCTGCTGGAGCGCAGTTTACTAGAGGCAGCAGGGCTAGAAAGATTGTAAAAGAAGTTTCAACAGCTTTATTTTAGGCTTTAGGAGGAGGAGAAGAGGGGGAGGGAGGCGAGGAGCACGGGAAGAGTAGATGAGGAGGGAGGAAGAGAGGGTACGGATGAGGAGGAGGGGCATACCGTCCCCTCTGAACCCACACCCTTTTGAAGAGAAGGTTGTAGCGCTCTTCTCGTGACATCGCAAAGGAAGGCCATCGGGGGCGCGCGTCGAAGCGAAGGCAACACGCTTGGATCGACCGTCCTAACGCGCTTTTAGTCACAAACGCGTGTCTTATTAGCTAAAATGAAAGGTGCACATAGCAACGGGTCTAGAAAACAGTTTAGTACACGGGCGAAATATTACACCGCTAAATAATCGGTACGAAATGGCACGAAGTATGCGTATAAGACGTCTATAGAAAAATGTGATTGTTTTAACTCGAAAGCATTGAGTCACGCAATCATTGCCGTAGGATTGCATATTTTATACAGAAATACTTCGACAAAATGGCGAGACACCCAGTGATTGGGCACAGCAAAACAGATCAGAGTTAAAAACCAGGTAGACAGAGTCAACGCGGACACGGCAAGACAAGTGTCACTTGCAATCACGTGAGCGATGTCATCGCGTGCAGTCACTGAATCCTTCCATTATACCTCGACTACATGGCAAAATTAATGTAATTTCGATCGAATGATATTATAGGGTCGACAAATCAGCTTGCGGCGCTCGTATAATCACTCAACACTGTGAGCAGATCAAATATTATATCATTAAATGAAAATATATTAACTTTAACGTGTGGCAGGGGTGCTAAACTAACTACTTAGTCAACTATTTCACTTCTCCCTATGGGCTCGAGATGCCTTAGAACAAAATATAACTTATTTTGTATACAATAATACTTGTTACCTTAATACAGTTAAGGTCCAAGTATAAACACGGCATAGGCAATAAGATAACATTAGTATAAATAAACACATAACCACAAATAATGTACTTTCAATAATCACACAAGCTTGTTTTTCACCTTCCAGTGAAAAGTAGATTACCACGCATGTATACAAATGTCGACGGAACTACACACGTATAACAACAAAGAACAATATTTCATTCTATTACAAAAATGAAAAAAAGAAACGATTGCAGCATTTTGTTTGCGTCGTAGATAACCAAGAAAACCCGGAAATAAGTTGTATCTCACCTGTCGATCGTATCCATACGTCCCAGTATATCCGTGACGAAGACATTTAAACATGAACTATAAGAAGTCCCGCTCTGTTGAGAGAGAGGTCTATCGATAATCGACCAGAGTCATCGTTGACTAGTTGCCACACACGTCACTCGAACCGTAGCAGGACTGGTTCCACGAATCCACGTAAATGCCGTAGTATCACGCGAACACAAATAAACTACCCGAGACTGCGGTGACGACATAAATACGACGGGAAGGAAACAAGTTTAAAAAGTACCCCACACGAGAGCAGCGGCGACGAAAGGCTTAACGTTGTCAACCCATCTCTTGCTCGTATAGGCTCCCTGCGGCGATGACTGGATTTTTATTCGGCTCCGTTCCCTTCTGAAATGTCTCAGCGTTCCTTTTCAGACAGTCAGCAGCTCACACACCAAGTAAATTTACCAGAATCGGAGCCGGGATGAGAGATGATGTCTCATCGAAGCCGCTTCATTCGAAAATTGTGGGGAGCTGCGGGACTGCACGTAGTCCCGCGGTTACGGGGATACTCAAAAATATAAATTTGGTATTTTCATCCTCGGTAATTTCATAAATTTATAAAGTTTATAATTTTATTTCCTAATTTTATAAAATTATGTTTAAATTATATATATAATACATTGTACAAGACTGCGATTTTAAAAGGTATATTAATGTCGGATAAACGCGCACGAACGCCACCGCGCCGCTCCAGAATAAACATTTTTTTCTCGTCGATAGAAGATATTTTCCCACTTAGTTGCGCCATGGCCTCCCTTCCTCCGACATTGTGACGTAACCACTCGGAGCGCTACGGCCTTCTTCTCTACGAGGTGTTGTCTGTACCCTCCCCTCCTTCTCCTCAAGAGCTGCGCTCTGATTCGCCGTCACAGAGACTTGTAAACATCTCATTTCTTAAAAGCCTTTTCCGGCGTAATTAAAATGCGCAGTTGTCACGTGACATGACGTCACAGATGTTGGCGGCTGGCAATCCATCGACCAATGATCGGCATCGGTCATGATAGATTTATTCATCGATTAACAATAAACGATTATAGAAAATTTTATATCTGAATAGGATTGGCTGATTGGTCGCTCCTACGTGACGTATGAGCGAACTCTGACGTCATCATCACGTGACCAACCCTCTGGCGAATGACTCAGCTCATGATTGACAGGTCCCAAAATTTTGGGGCCGAAAACCGGGCCGTGGGAGTCGGGTATGGGGGGGGGGGGGGAGGGGGGGGGGGATTCGAACAAGTATCGATGTCAGAAACTGGATACCCCGATGTCGGAAACATATCAATATCGGAAACACATTTTGGATCGTAATCAGTTCCATCGTGCCCCATTATATACTTACTACTCTACGAGAATCATAATTTGTGCCGTTCAAAATAGCTTTCGTGCAGTGACATTACTGAGGGAAAAATCGGCAAGCTGGTAGCGTTATTTATTGCTACGATAGTGGTTCTGAAATGGAGGTCCGCAGACATTTTGGGGACCGCAAAGGCCTGCCTCAGCAGTCAAGCCCGACAATAAAAGTTTTCTATTTCTCAAATTTAGAAGAAACCTTCCGATTTCCGGGTGCGTTTTCTCGTGTTTATGTCAATGAGAGAAGACTAGCCCTTAATGATATTCATTTATTAAATCATTGTCGTAATCAACCTACACATTTCCCATCCTTTCACCACGAACGGGGCCCTCCACCATCTTTGCCAATACACAAGGAGTCCGCGAAACCTCGTTCGGTGAGAAAATCCGTACCTTCGAGACGACGACTATAAAAGTCGGAAGCGCAGTGTACGAAATCAATGATGTTATCAGTGAACGGAACGGAGTCCGAAGACGTTTGTATGTGCTGTGCATTTGTATGTTCCCGCTGTATGGGAGCTTTACTGTATCGTATCTCGTGGTACCCGAGGCGTGGTTGTGAGCAAATTAGAAATGTCTGAATCTCAACAGTAGAGAGAAAACATTTTTGTGGCTAATGAATTGCAAAGTACCCAACGCCACCTAGCCAAGTCATTTGCAATTACTCTGCCCGTGCCTGCCATCCGGTGGTTAAAATTTTAACCATTTTTTAGGCTTCGCGACATTTTTGGACTCTGCAATGAGCCAAGTATGCTGCTTTGAAGTAACTTTTTCGGGAACGACTTTTGGTTTCGCGAGTGGCTTACCACTCTCCTCTGACGTGCGGTGCTAACGAAGGAAATGTGTCGCTGACAATCGCAAATGCGAGACGTACGCGCAGCAGTCGGGTTTCGGCTGTCTCCGTTTAACATTGCAGTGCTGAACACGAAATTATCGAGTTACTGCGTTCGTAAAGCATTTCCTCGCCTGCGGGAGAAGCCGACAAGTGGCGCTCTATCGGAGGTAGTAGACAAGTAAATTTATTTTTGGATGCACTTTCTCTACATTATCAACTTTCTCTATATCAATAATAAGCAATGAAGGAAAGCATGCCAATCCGGAGGGTCGAGATATACTTTACCTAACGCCGCTGCCACCTGATCCCTTTTTGCCTAAACCGAGAGACATTGATGACTTCACCAAATAAGGTGCGCAGACCTTTGTTCTCTAGAATATGTTGGCCCGCTCCATAAGCAATCATCGCCTAAGCTAATACGATGAAGGTATCTGAAGTTTAGGATATATTTTCAGTCTCGTGATAGACTAAAATGCAATAGATTAAAATTGTTACAAAGACTTGTTAATCCAAAAATGAACTAATTTTTAGCGTTATGACCAATGTTAACTTATGTAATTCGTTCGTTACACTGTAATAAATCCTTAAATTGTAGTATAACGAATCTAATAATAACTTGAGAGGGCATTGTCACTTTATTGTCAAAGTTTCACGGCAACAGCCACAATGTCTGTTTTCGCCATCGAATGTACGGTATTGATCAATGTAAACATAAACGACAAAACGACGTCTGAAAGAAACCACGAGGCCTTGCCTCAAGATAAGAACTTTAACCAGAGTAACTCAGCATGCTTTTGGAACGAACTGTTTAGGTGACACCAATATCATCCGTTTAAAAATAATCGAGGCAGCTCCTGAGGCGGATTGGCACTATGAGTCATTGCTGCTTAAGTCCAGACCCAGCCGAGGCTTGAGCTAATAGGACAAATCAAGCAGCCTAAAAAGCAAGATTCACCGGGCCTTTTTTGTTTATGATTGGTTCACCGATAACAGCACACGTATACGAACATGACTAACACCGTGCTGGTGCCCTTTTGACGTTTTCTGATTGTTTCCGTCAGCTCGTAGCGTCAGCTGCGTCTTAACTTAAAGAGCCCCCGAAAAGAAAAACAAATGATTTTTTTTAACAATCCGGTTGGGACACGCGTGCCGAAAAATAATTTTGCCCGAAAAAAATTTAGAACAATATTGGCGACGCGAGTAGGAGATTTAGTTGGTAGTCACATCCCTTCCACTTGTTTTCTCTCTCCGCATTTCGGGCCCGTGGAGTCACCTTGAGCATTGAGCGGATGACCATTTCGTGACGTCGTGGACTTTCCGCGCAGAATTTCGAATAAGCCTCTCGCCTTCAATATTGCTTTAAAACACAATTTGGCGCTGAATTTATTTTTTGACACGCGTGTCCCAACCAGACAGTTAAAAAAAAAATTAAGTTTTTTTTTTTTCTTTTCAATGGTCCTTAAAGGCGAAATGAAATATAGGAAAAGCGCGGGAGCGAGGTATATTGGAGACGTTACCGAATCAGGAAAAGTAACATTCTCAATCACAGTGGCATCACACTGTCGTCCGCATGCTTTTACTCGAGCGAATTCCACTTCCGGTGTCGAGACGCGGTGGCAGCTGTCGCTCGGCTGGAGTGTTGTGTCCAATAGCGAACACGAGTAACAAACTATCGTTATTCGTTAATTCATCGAAACTAACGATGTACTGAAATTCGTAACGGTCCTGCAAATGTGATGACAGGTTGCTTTCGCCAGCGACAAGAATTAACAACCGTTATCTTTGCGTTACTTTTGATTTGATGTTGTTTTGGCAGCGATAAGCCACGGATACAAACCTCAATCACGATGAAACCGCAACGGAGCCACTCCATAGTGTTTATTATATTCCTTAATCATATTTGTAAAAAAATACATTTTTCTCAGCAATATTAAACTAACTAAAAAAAATATTATTTAAACGTAACGAGCAGCGTAATTTGATATACCATACCGTGAAATAGTTAAAAAACACTTTACACGGCAGTCATTTAAACAACTCATGGGAGCGTTACTGCGATGTTTCAAAAAAGAAATGCGTTACCAGTAAAGACATTACTTGTAACTGCTTGTTTATCGCTGGGTCGTGTCAGCCTACGTTCTTCAAGCCAAACTTATGGGAGTTTATGTGACAACTCAAACAATATTTGGCAGGCTCCAGGGAAGGACTGAGGATCGATTCTTTTGACGTGCAACCGAAATCTCGGCTACACGGCACCATTTCCGAATAAGCCTCCTTCACGCACGAAATACTACGGCCAAAATTCGGCGCTGGCCAACTGGGGATCGACCCGCAGGCAGTAAATTTGCCTTGGAGCTTCCAAGCCGGCATCCTATCTTCTCTAAAGCTTGATTTTAGTTCTGAGAAAAATAGTTTTAATCTGGAACAAAATCAGTTGTTAAGCACAATGCTGGTAATATGGACAGCTTTAACGCACTTCGTTACTGTTGAAAATTACCTGTTACAACAGCAATAATCAGGAAAGCTTGAATCTTCATGGTGACTTGTGGACGTCCTAGTGGCGTTTTTAGAAAGCATGTCCCCGTCCTTGACTTTTATATTGCACGAAAATTGCAAGAACGCAGTTGTCAATACACAACGTGAAATAAAAAGAATGGAGTATTGCCTGGATTTGATGTTTCCAAAATATATTTTGTTTCCGACAGCACTTTTCTCTTTAGTTTTCTTTTTCCTCTGGGTATCAAACATAAAGCATGACATATAAATTCACAAGAAAGACCTTGACATTGGTGAAGCTCTCTATATTGTTCCTCAGGTGTCCAACATGTCCAAGTTTAGAAAGAAACCTTTGATCTACCAGAAAGAGAATTCAGTGTGCTTTGCTTTTTCTAATACAGGATTATGGCTACGACGCACACGCCTCTCCACATCTCGAGCAATAAATATAGTAGAATTTCGTCCTCTCTACGCACTTACACATGCAAGCGACATTTACTTCTCCTTACCCCCCCCCCTCCCATAAAAACAATTCGATCGCAAGCAGGCATTTAAAGTCTGCAGCAGGCTTTATTGGTCCTTTGAAATTCGACCTGACTACCATTATCACAGGTAATAACAAATGTGTAGGTTTAAATATAAGGATAAACGTAGGCATACAGACACTTCTTAACCCGCTTTGCCATTACCAATGCTCCAAACTCTTGATCATACCTCATATCTCTGTGAAGTAAATTTATTGCGTACTTACGGAGAGCTTCAGGGTGGGAAAAGCGCAATCTGAAAAAGGGCACGAAGTCAGAAGTGAATAAAAAGAGCGCTGATTGTCAACTGAAGGCTCATTTCCCAAACAACCAAAAAGTTAAAAAAACGGAGGGAAAAAAATGTATAGATTTCGACTTACCTCTAAGGTTAGGCAGAAACCAACATCCAGACAGGTGTGGTGCCTTATGTTCACGCCCTATTCCACAAGGTCAAGTGTTTGGCTAACAAGTACAGAGTGAAAGATGTATTTTAGGTTACAGGCTTAAGTTCATGAAAATGAGCTTTAGCAAAACAACTAAAATAACAAAAATGCTCCGAAACACCATCGAGGAAGAAGGCGACATTTCTCTTCAAAACACCACTGGAGACACCGCGGTAGTTGTAATATAACAATATAAAAAATGTGTGCAATAAAGTGGCGCATGCATTCGAAATAGGTTGGCGCCTCAATTATGTGATCTGAATCGGGCAGCATGCGACAGAATAATCTAAACTAACCTAAACGACACAAGGATCAGAGGTACCTTCAGGTACGTGGGTGATTTCTTGGTACTATATGCCGCGGAGAATGGTGACCAGAAAAAAGGATACAGAGAAAAATTATGAGATGTTTTTTTAAGACAGTTGCCCGGATATAAAGTTCACACATGAATTCCCATAAACAATTCCGTAAAGTTTCTAGATCTTGCGATGGAATTTAAACAAGGACACGTTTACTGGAAATAAGAACCTCGGTCAACAAAGGGGTACCTTCCATTTACGTCTGGACACTCAAGAAAAATCAAGAAGGTGTTGCCAGCACAGCGCTAAACTGTCTCTGCCCTCAGCAACTCTTGTGAACACCAACGTTGTCCAAGCTTTTAAAAACAGATTTCCAGACTACGCAATCAAGATACCCGACAACTCACCTATGCCCCGTCCGTGAGAAGATATGCAAGAAATTGAAACACACAACGGCAGACTCCAAACCAAAAGAAAATACTCCAAAAAAGAACATCGTTTTACCATACATTCACGGGATTACCTACAAGATAAAAAAAACATCTCATTAAGACAGAACATTCAAGTACTTTGCCCAGCACCAAACAAAGCATGCTGTATTTGCAGAAAAGTTAACAAACCAACAACTTAGAGGAAAAGGTGCAGCACTTCAAAACAGAACACGATATGCCCAGGCCCAAACAGGAGTTGTCTATCACATTCCAGTTTGGTGCGCTAAATGTTACATTCGACAAACAGGCAGTTCCATAAACAACAGAATCAACCATTTTGGCAACAAACAAGTATCCGTTTGCAGCTAAGACGCTCGAGGCACTGGCCATCGAAAAACACGGGGTAGATAGTGTTAGCACCTCGTCCATAACTATACAAACCAAAGAAAACAGTGTTTGCGGTTTGCAACTCCCAGATCATTGTCCATCACAGTCCACAGCAAAGAAAAAAAAAACATTTGTGGTGTGCCACACCCATATAACTCGCACAAAGAACGGGTAAAGGTAAGCTTAATAATTTTCTTACGTAAATAATATTTAAAACTGATAGCTAATTTAGGTTATATGAACAGCTTGTAAAAAAAGATGATTGCACATGCGAAGAAACAAAGGACTCAAGCAAAGTTGTTTGTCAGCTAGTATCTAATGTCTTCTCCTTTCTACATCTATTAAGAGCCCTAGAACATCGTTTGTTCCTCTTCAAGCACTGCAACCTTTTTTCGGTGTTCGTGCAGCCATGAACACAAAACCTGGGAACATATCAACGAGGTTCTACTGTATTTAATGAAACATGACGACGTATGCGGTATGTCACATAGTATAGCATGGAAACAAGTATTTTTAGGAAACATAAGTGGTATAGCAATACCACATAGAAGACAAGGCTTGCTCCTTCCTCCTCTAATGCCATCACTAGTGGATTCACGCAGTGCTGCCTAGACTGCATCCAATGAGCACATCTTGCAGTGTCTCACGAGTCCAATGCTAGCAGATGGTAACGTCAGAAACCCTTTTCCCGCATATTGCCGTCATGCTTTAGCACGTTTTCCACTTGGGGCAGGTCAGGGATCCACGGACGATAACGTGATCCCAGCTCTCGTCTTTGAGCTGGTATCGGCAAGACACCTGACTCTGTAATTTACAATGGCTTTATTCAAATGTTGGTTCGTACGAATCATGGTTTTGGTCCTGGCAATTGCAAGAGCTGTGCCCCCAACTTTTGTAAAGGGACACCATGCTAGCGACAATCGTTTCAACTACTCGGTCACATGGTGTGCAATACCCAGCCTCCGTACGGGGCAGGAACAGGTAGTTGGATTGCTCAGGTAGCTGGTGGAGTATCAGACTGAAAATCGCAGACTCATCTTGTCAGCATGGTTTTCTTGTGTTCATTTTGACACTGTCTCCTCAGATTACGTGTAGAGAGGTCAGCTGTACAAAGATGCAATCTGGACAAAATTATATTAGAAAAGGTCATGGATGTCGCCAAGCATATCATGCCTTTTGATTAGGAAAATTAAAGCATGAGACTAAATGCAAATAAGCTCTCAGCTCAGCCTAAGTTCAATCTTGCTCCTTCGACCTATGTGCACTGGCACTCCTCTAAATAGACAAGGCCAGAGGTAGAGACAAGATTAAATCTCTGACACTTATAGTAGAACCTTGTTAGTTTAAAATCTGTGGGATTACAAAAAAATGTATGTATTAAGCAGGTTTTTGAATTGCCCGAAACAGAAAGAAAATGCTAAAATTAAATCGCAAAGCTTGCTTGTACAAGTTAAAAAAAACCTTATCATGAGACAATGACATGATTCCAGAAAGTAGTCTTTAGAATCATGTTCTCGAGAAGGTCAACTAAGCACAGCATCTTGTCATCCCAACTGTTGCACTCAATGATGCTCCACAAGACATGCAATGATTCATTAACTTCTCAGAACAGGCTTGGGGAGGTCGCTGCTATCGTCAACAGTCACAATTTTTGTTATGTCTCTTTCACCGTTAGCATATGAAGTCTGCTCATTGCTCCTGATGCTTAAGAAGTTGGAGAAGTAAATTTCACCAGACTCGCCATTGACAGTGAAGCATATTTTTTTTATTAAACATTATACTCTGCACCTTTCTTGGCGGAACCATGTAAGGGACTCTTGGGCCACAATAAAAAAGGCAGCTTTCAGATTACGACAGCAGTGTGATAAAGCAAAGGCTAATGAAGGAATATGTTGTAAAACGACTTTTGTTTGGGCTAGTTGGTTCTTACTAGGCATGATTAAAAAAGCGCAAACTTGACAAGGACAAAGAAGGCACACGTACAACAGGACTGGCGCTTACTTCCAACTAAGTTTATTTCATCATCAACCAAGCAATATATACCAGCGCCAGCGAGCATAAAAACCTCAAAACACACAAGAAAAATTAAACTTTAAGATTATATGCCTACCACGCGCCGTTCTTTAGATAAAACAATCAAGAAAAAATATTTTGTCAATCAGACACACTGAGGGCATGCTGACGCACTTGTCTCCCGCTTTTTTGATAAAAAACTCCTCTATAATTTCCCCCTCTGTCTTGTCCTTTGCTTTCTTTAGGAACTTCGTCATATTCAATAGTGGTTTACACCCACATCGTTTAACGCCCTCAGCAAGATGACCACCCGAATAGCTTCGTACAGACAGATTATGTTCGCGCGCACTCTCATTGAAACATCTACCCGTTTGTCCAATGTAACGCGGCCGCAGCTAAAAGGAATTTCGTAAACAACCCCACTTGTGCAGTTAGTGTACATGACGACGTGTTTTTTTGCGCATTGATCACTTTTTTTCCTTGTAAGCATAGGACATATCTTGCCGAGCTTGCAGGGAGCCGAAAAAAGGAGATTAATACCATATCTGTCAGCTATCTTTTTTTCAAATTATGCGATACCCCTTGCATATAAGGCAAAACTTGCAATCTTTTTTTGTTGATCTGTTCTAAAGTACGTTTTTTATTCTATATACAGAATAAAAAACGTATACTTTATTCGGTATACAGAATAAAAAACGTACTTTAGAACAGATCAACAAAAAAGAGTTCAAGTTTTGCCTTATATGCACAGGGTATCGCATAATTTGAAAAAAGATAGCTGGTAGATACGGTATTAATCTCCTTTTTTCGGCTCCATGCAAGCTCGGCAAGATATGTCCTATGCTTACATGGAAAAAAAGTGATCAATGCGCAAAAAAAAAAAAAAAACACGCCGTCAGGTACACTAACTGCACAAGTGGGGTTGTTTATGAAATTCCTTTTAG